GTCCAAATTCACAGCCTCTTTTTTTCCGGTCTTCCCGGTCTACCAAGGACCCGGCCCGCTGCAACCGGGGAGTCTGGGTCCTCCGGAGGACCCAGCCTGTCGTTTTGGACACAGCCAATGTAAGCATTGTACGTAAACATTGGCTTTTCTTTTTTTTCAGTAAGAGGTTTTATTTAATAGAATTTTTGGACAAAAAAATCGCAATATATCGCCTTGCTTACCGTATCGCAATATATCAGGATATATCGTATCGTGACCTCTCTGTTATATGTATCGTTTCGCCAAATTCTTGCCAATACACAGCCCTATTATTTAGGCCTTCAACATCTTGCTTTATACTCTGTTCATTATGTTTTCTGTTTTTAAAGAAAACAAGCCACAACATGACCAATCCTCAGCTGTATCTTTRGAAATCTCCTTGTTTGTAAAGATTACAGTTTTACATAATGAAGATCAGATTAAAATGTTTGAATATCTAATGTGAGGTTCATCAAAACTGTTCAGATGAATGAACAATTATTTATGCAACAATAAAAAGCTTAATATAATGAACAGCTTTTTAAAACAAAAACAGAACTAAAAATAAAATAAAAATCTGACTTTGTCTTTTTACCATATCTGATCAAAAACCGTCGCAAAACAACTTTTATTGRCAAAAAACAGCAGAATTTGCTTTTTCTCCTAAATTTAGTTCGAGTCCGCTTTGCGCATGCGCAGAAAATTACCTGTTAATGTTTCTACAAATCAGTGAAAGTAACAATATTTGTGATTATTCTAAAGCATTTTACTGAGGGTTTTTAAAAACATGATGGTCTACTTGTGTTGTTTTATTGCGTTACATGTTTTCCTGTGATAAATCACTTATTTATCACTTGTTTTAAGTCTGAAACTGGAGTTTAAACGGATTTTAATAAACTTTTATTAGCTTCACGTGCCTGAACGGCAGTAARTCACTCGCTAACATTAAAACTCACAACAGAGCAACCAGCTGTGCTTCCTGTCATACTTTTAACACACCATAAAACACTTGAAAGTTTAAAAAAAATTGAAGCTATTTGTATTTTTAGGAAAAGTAACATCGTCATATATTAAAAAGCGGGTAAATGTGAAAACAATCAAGGAGCTTACGTGCATCATGATGGCGGCCGTGCTGAAAAAAACAAACCAAAAACTTTCAGCTTCTGCGGAGTTTAAACGSCGTCGCTCCAGTTGTCAACACGAACCCCATCGCTTGAATGGTCCGCAGCGACAACAGCGCGAGCAGCTAGCTCAGCAGCTAGCCTCGTGACTGCACACGAAAGGGACGACGGGTAATGGTGTCTTTCCATCGCTGAGCGTCTACGTAAGAAAATGGCGTACTTTAATACGTTCAGCCGCTGTTAGCTGTTAGCATTCCAGTTAAAACCATAGTTAGGTGAAAAATAAGTGTTTTTATCGCGCGTGTGCCACTCAAAGCGACAGTTCGTTGCAGCCGCCATGTTGAAGACTCACATCACGTGACCATCTGAAAAACCAGCGCATGCGCATTGCCGCCGTAAATGTCAAAATTACTTTTTTTTTTTTTAAAAATTTTTGATTTCTTTGGAAATTTCTAAAGAAATTTTGATTTCTTTAGAAATTTCC